TTATGTCCGTTTTATGTGAGATCAATTCTGTGGGCTCTGTTGCAAAAAGAGAATGGGGAAGTCAGGAGAAAAATAATCATTCAGACCTCGGGATGACTGTACTCATGACGCCATGTCTCTGAGTGAGTGTGACAGTGGAGATGTGAAGGTGCTGTTCCCACTGTTCTCAGAACAAGCACACCTTTAGCACATGGGTATGAGCTGTGCTTTAAAAAATCCTAATTTTCTGTATAGCATGGTATCTCAGTCAGAGCTGAGCATTTCGCTTGGTGCGTAACCAAAGTCACAATGTTCTCCAACAAAGAAGAACAGCCTGTGTTGAACTCCAGGAGATGACATGGGGCCTCCTAAGGGATTTTGAGGAAGATTCTGACCATCTCTGATTTTCACCCAAGGCTACATTATGTTGCCACTGTTCAGGCTGAAGTGAGTCAGGATAGGCTTGTCATGGTGTTTAGGGGTCTTGTCTCCTCTTGCCTGTGTTTTTTTAGTGACTTTTTCCAAGAATGGTGTCTAGCAGTGTTAAAATCTGTGGTCTCTGGTTTCTAAACAATAGAACAGAGAAACAAAACAAATCCTCCACCTCTTTCAGTCTTAGTATGATTGTCTTGGAACTTCTTTGCACATTTCCATGTCTCAGTTCAGAAAATCAAGCCATTACTCCTGAGGTAAACCTGGGGTTACTTCAGTGTCTATAATGTACAAGAGAATACAGTGAAAGGGAAACTTTGTCTTTATTTAATAGTTAAGCTAAAACTTAATGAAAACTTACATTAAAAACTAATGATGTATTGTATGGTGAACTAACATAACACAATAAAATTTAAAAAAAAGAAAACTTACATTAAGTTCTTTACCTTTATGACCTCATTTTGATCCTTATAACTCTCTGTAGTATGGATGTTATGACCCCATTTATGTGAGACAACTGAGGATCAGAAAGTATGAGTGACACTAAGTAATTGAGTGACAGAACCACTCTCCAAGCCCAGACATATGACTCCAAAACCCCACAATTTTCCTTTTTAGCTTATGGCTCCATAAAAATATGAGTGTGACACGGTTCTTGCACTCAAGGCATTTTGGGTCTCACTGGAGGATAAGAAAACTATAAATACTGTAATTCAAATCAAAATATAAATACCCTTCTAAGAAAGATTAATTTCACCAAGGTTGAAAAGTGGGTGATGTGTTGTCATGACATGAGGAGAATCAAGGGAAGCTTCCCTTCCACGTGGGTCTTCCCCACAGCTGAAGCTTCAAGGCAACAGCATCTGCCCTGAATGATTGTAGCCGTAAGGAGGTAATTTTCTTTCTTTTTTAAGATTTTATTTATTTGACAGAGAGAGACACAGTGAGAGAGGGAACACAAGTAGGGGGAGTGGGAGAGGGAGAAGCAGGCTTCCCACTGAGCAGGGAGCCTGATGTGTGTCTTGATCCAGGATCCTGGGATCATGACCTGAGCCGAAGGCAGATGCTTAACGACTGAGCCACCCCAGCGCCCCTGGAGGTAATTTTCCAAGGATTTTCTAATTAAAGGAGGCACAATAAGGCTGATGAAATCATTCACACTCTTGCATTATAATAGTTGTAGAATATCCTGATGAGAAAGTGGCCTTGGGAATATGTCCTTGAATTCTGCCAACTGCAGTTGGAATCAGCCAGGGAAAGCAAAGAAATTAATCCATTGAATATGAATGAGATGTAAATAACATCTTGAATTAATTTAAATGCAATCATACTGGTATAATGGGGGGAAAAGTGAATTACTCTAGAAAACAAGGAAGATAAATGACCCACATTTAGGGAAAGTCTTTGGTGGGCAATAAAATGAGCTGTCCTAAAAATAGAGGTGTGCAAACAATATTTTCTACTTCACTTTATGTGTTAACTGAATGCTATATAGCTGTCAGTGGCAATCATTTCGTTTTTAAAATATGTTGATAAATAAAGCAAATAAGAATAGAAAATCTTGTTGAGCTTCTCACCTGTATTTTTTTGGTAGTTCTTTTTTGTTGTCAATAATTTTCATGTCAATAATCAATTGATAATTGGTCAATAAGGCCTGTGATTTGGGGAGAACTAGATAAAGATGAATCTACTTGGCACCCCAACTACTAGAAATGTGTTTTACAAGGATTTTTTTTTCACATTTCTCTTGGGATTGTCCTGACTTTCTTCTCATGTATCACTCATGGTCAAGAGAGGAATAGCTCTAGTAGTTTGTTCACCTGGGATTTATCCTGGTTACGTGGCTCTAAAACTTAAACATACACGAAAAATGAGAACGGTAATATTATCTCCTGATTCAACACTTAAATTTTAATTTGATGGCTGTCTAAACAGGTGGAGGTTCCCTTTCTTTAGTCTACAGACCTCTCTGAGGCAGCCGAGGGTCCATGGATCTATGTACACCCCAAGTATTTCCTGGAGCCTTGGAGGACAGTGAGCTTTGTTGACTCACAAGTCCTGCTCTTCTATTTTTTCAAAAAAGTTACTATTGTGATGAATAAAATACAAATATATTTTTAAACACTTGACACAAAGCTGCAGGAACTCTTGCAAAGCTACATAGGGAATATAGTCAGTGGTACTATAATAACATTGTATGGTGACAGGTGGTAGCTCTACTGAGCATAACAATGCAGAGTTGTTGAATCACTCTGTACACCCGAACCTAATACAACATTGTGTATCACCTATTCTTGAGTTAAAAAAATTTTTTTGAAATACATATTTTCAATCAGGATGTTAAATAACATTTACAGATGACATGTAAAGCTTTTCCATCCATAGGTTAAGACTAGTAAGTGTAAATCGTTCATTCATTGATCACACACCTACAGTGTCCCTGGCCCTTTCTTAAGCTGTAAAACTGAGAATGAATGGAAACACTCATCTTCAAGACTATTTTCTTATGAAAGATCCAGGTGCACTTAAACTCTCTTACCTGATGTAAGGATTGAGAATAATTTATTCTTAAAATTGCATCTAATTAAGAAAAATATGTAATTATTTTTCAAATCAAAGGTCACAAAGTAGGACATATACTAATGTTTATTTTGACTGTAGTGCTTACAACGGTCTCCTAGTTGCATTTTGTTATTTGTATGTTTTATTTGTGTGGCAAACCATGTAAAAACACAGGAGTGATTCATGTAATTCTAATTTTGATTTGAATTTGTAATTAAGTGGTTTCTCCCCTTGCTCCAGTTCTATCTGGACCTCTCACCCACTCCCCACCCAATCAGACAGGGTTAGCTATTAGGGAGCAGGTTACGCATCTCTTCTGACACAGCGTGGCATGATAAAGCCAACAGTTTGGGAAATACTTGGAGTAAAGAGAAATTTTTTTTTTAAGATTTTATTTATTTGAGGGGCACCTGGGTGGCTTAGTCAGTTAAGCATCTGCCTTCGGCTCAGGTCAAGATCCTAGGGTCCTGGGATGGAGCCCCACGTCAGGCTCTCTGCTCAGCGGGAGCCTGCTTCTCCCTCTCCCTGCTGCTCCCCCTGCTTGTGCTCTCTTTTTCTGTCAAATAAATAAATAAATCTTTAAAAATATATTTTATTTATTTGAGAGAAAGCAAGCGAGCACAAGCGGGAGGAGGGGCAGAGGGACAGGGAGAAGCAGACTCCCCACTGAGCAGAGAGTGAGAAGATCCCAGGACCCAGAGATCACAGCCTGAGCCAAAGACAGTTGCTTAACCGACTGAGCCACCCAGGCGCCCCTGGAGTAAAGAGGAATGTTAATTAAGGCACATTGCTGTGCTTCAGATCTGCAGAGTCATACAGACCTTCATATTGTTTCCACAGCCTTCATTTATTTGGGTGTCCGATGACCTCACAAAAGAAAACACACCGTTTCCTGCTATTGATAGTACCAAGTAAATGCTTAGAAGAGACTCCCCTCTGAGACTTGGGGTGTGCTTTCTTCTGCCCCAGATCTTGACTGCTGTGCTTGAGCTTCTGTGGGGCACATGTATCTTTGTGCCTGTGGAGAGCAGGGAAGTAATAGTGTCCCCGGTCAGTGGAAGGTGGTCATGGGCTTCTACTGAATGTTAATTACCAGAGGGTTGTTTACGGGGACCAGGGACCAAGTAAGGATTCTTGGTTTGTGGTAACTTCATCACTAGCTCTGTTGAGAGGGACTGCAGCTCTGAGGATGCCCAAATCCTTATGATTGGCAGCCAAACTTGGTGACAGTTGAAGCAAAATGCCCCAATTGTGCTGAACAGGAGTAGATGACTTTTCACATATTTAATGAGCACAATTATCTCTAACACTTAAAGCTTCCCACTACTTTAGCTTTAAAAGGATGGCGAGACTAGATTGTTAAAGGAATTATAAGAGCTGTTTTGACCCTAGAATCCGAAAAGCTGCCGATACTGTCAGTGGTATAAAAATGGATTGCTCTGGAAAACTCCCTGCCCTGCATATGCTGGCTTTTACTTGCCAGTGTCCTGAGCTTTCTGGCTGTCCAGACTTGGAAACCTCAGCCTTGATGTCACTGCGCAGGGTGGCTTTTCTGAGAGCGATCCTCTAGCTCCAGAACAAAATACGTGCCCGCATTTGGAGGCTTTTCTTGAACCCCAGGCAGCTCTCTTTGAGTTCACAGTTACCTTCCTTCTTCGTTTCCATTTCCAGCCACGAGAAGAGGGGAGTTAATGATTCATATGCTCTCAGTGACCTTTTGAATAACTGGACTGTGATCTACCAGTGCAACTCTCAGCTGCCTCTCTCTCTCTCTCTCTCTCTCTTTTCTCTTCCCTAGTTTGGCTTTAATATTTACAGCCTCCTTCTCCGTCTACATGCCTGGACGCCTGAAGGAAGCAAAACATTTATGGCCTCCCCCTCCCCGTGTGCGGGAGCTTTTCACCCAGCCCCGTTCCTTCCTTTGACATCAGCCGGGGAGACTCGGGAGACTTGCCTCCTGGCTGGGGACGCCCGAGTTCTTCCTGAGTCTCTCATGTTGAATCTGTTGATTGAGGCAAAACAAAAAGATGGATTCTGACTCGGACTCCCCTTTTAACTACTCATGGCCTTCCTTCCCCAAAATGAAGATTCGACGGAGGGCATCCAAGCAAGGTAGATCCTGGAATCTTTTATTTTATTTCCCTCCAAGCCAGGGAGCCTTGTGTTCTTACCTTTCTTTTCCTTGTTGCTTTGCCAGACTGTTTTCTGATGAAGTGCAAGTTTACACATGTTTGTATAAAACTCTCACTCTAAAATTTCTTTCCAGAGAGGCTTCGGAGGTAAACCTACTTGTTCTTCGGTTCCTTTCACTTTGACTCTGCCTTTGTGCTTTATTGTACATGTGCAGTTTTCTTTAAAAAAATAAAGGGGGGGGGAGTTCAGTACAAGGGAAATGTTGCAGATTCACTTGATCAGAGTTACCTTGGAGTTACCTTGACAATAGAGAGTCCTGTTGACTTAAAGAACTATGTACATATTCGATACCCCGTCTCTGCTGCTTTTGTGTTTTCAAGCAGGTGTTTTTTTTTTTTCTTTAATTCTTTACCAAAGAAGAATGTTCCATTTTGGACTATTGATTTTATAGTTGCTCCAAGGAAGGGATTTTAAGAAAGTAATTTAAACAAGAAAGCCTGTGTATCTCCAGGGGATCTAGTTATATATTAAAAAGTTTATTAGTAATTACCAAGTAGGCAGAACACTTTACTGCCAAAGGAAAAAGTCATTTATTTGTAGCATGATTAATAATGCAGTGTGTTATGCCACTCATTCCCCCTTGCAAGTCATTCTTGACATCCAGGGAAATCAAGGGACGAGTTGGTGTTAGGGTACAGGGGAGGTGTCCTCAGTCTCCACTGCCCTCTCCTCAGCTGGCCTCAGCAGGTGGCCATTGTTGCCTTCTGAAGTTTACCAAAACAAGAAAGTTAGTGACCCATCTGTCCCTTATCATGTGTGGGGAGTATGTGGTTATGTTTTTAATTCAAGGAGAAGGGAACCTTTTCATGAGCTTCAAGGCAGAAGGGATGTTTCTGAAAGTGCGCTGTCTCTAGCTTTATCCTTACAGAGCAGAATTCTCTATTCGCCAGAACAGAATGACCTATTGAATTACCCCCTGCTTTTTGATGAGCAAAATGGAGGCTGGCAGTTGTCAACATACCTGGTTTGCCTCAAGGACCTTTTTTCCTTCTAAAGTAAAATAGAGGGGTGTGTGTGTGTGTGTGTGTGTGTGTGTGTGTGTGTGTGTGTGTGTG